ATTAGTTCAAATTTTTTAATTAAAATAAAAATAGTTTTCTATTTCTTATGCAAGGAATATAATTTTAACTTTTGGAATATGCTAGTTAGTTGTAAGTTTTTGGGATATAGAACTAACTTTTGGAGGTATATTTGCAACTTTAAATAATATATTGTAATATTTTGAGGGATGTTTGTTATATTTTGGGGTATATTTGCAAATGTAATATGTATTTAATTCAATATTGATCTAAAGTTAATTATTTTATATATATACAGTCGTGTCCCCACACCCTACTTTTTACAAATTTGCTGTGTCCCGTACCCGCACCCGTACCTGTATCTAGGCAACATAGTTAATGGATAATTCATTATCGGATTTCGAATAGCTTACCACACTAAGGCTATTGTCTAGTTGCCATGTGCATGATGATGATGTTCCAATAGAACTTGAAGAGGAAACCGTTAAAGCTCGTCGGATCTCCTCCAAGTTTTCTTGATGCGCTTCTAAAAATTTTCACAATGTATAAGCGCTATCAAAAGAATCAAGCTTGTTAGACATAGATGAACCAAATGCGTTTAGTTAAATTCTAACACAAGCTTGTTCATAGTAAACATCTTCTTATCATTTTTACTCCACTTGAATTTCTTCAAAGTGGGCACAACAAAAGCAATATCAATAACTTTCTACAAATCGATATTTATAGATCTAATAAATAGCTGAAATCTAAAACACCATTGAGCATAGGAAAAAACATTGAATTTAGGAACAACACTAGGATCATAGCCTAAATAAGATGCACCATTCATATTCAAGATATATGTATATGTGCAAGTAAAATACAAAAAATCTCAAAACTAGATTAGCACAAATATGAGAACAAGGAACTTTGATTCTAGGTGATTAAGCCTCTAATCAAGAGCACTAAGCTCTGGTACCAATTGAAAGCACCCTAGAGGGGGGTGAATAGGGTGAATGCTAATCTAATATGATTAACTAATTAACAATAATATCCTAGCAAGTATGATATTCAAAAGACTATATGCAATGATATGTAAACTAAGGGCAAATAAACATGAGCAATGCCAATATAGAATGAATAAACAATGAGCACAAATAAATACGCCAATACAAACGTAAACACAAGGAAATGATCATGAAGTTTGGTCCTTTCGACCTACGTCTTCGCTCCCCACTCCCGGAGAGAATCCACTACACAATCGGGTTTTTGACGTTTACCCGAAAAACGTTTACAACAACACAATCTCGGTTTTCTAGCTCACCGAAAACTTTCACAACTCACACTCTAGCAATCACACTTTACACATTCAAGTGTTGATCTCTAGTCTGTGTCATTCCTCATGTGTTCAGATTTCTGACATCTCTCTAGGCTTAACTACCGACGTCACTCCTCTTGGAACCAATCTCGTCTCTCACCACACTTCTTTCCGTGTACACATGTAGTACAAAGTGATCTACACAATGAATGCTCAAATACAAATAATTTGTTCTCTACAATAGATGAGAACACAATGAAGCCCAACTCAATGTTATAATCTCTCAACACCCAAATATACTATATATGAAAACACTAAAAACTCAAGTGGGTGTGTAACAAAGAGAAAATTAATATAAACTCAATGTAAAATCTAGCTTATGGAAATTGATTTGGAAATTATAATCAAAATAATAAATAGCTAGAATTTGAGTTTAAAGAAACTTCTCTATAATGACAAGAGAGAGAGAGATTGAGATGAAGCTCAAACAACAAGGATGATCTCCTTTAGCTCTTGTGTAAATCTCTTCACAAAATCAAACTTAGAACAAGGCTCTAAACACCTTTAAACAAACTAAACAAAACTTTAAACTCTTTGGAAACTCTCTTAAACTTGTTTAAAACATTCTCTTGATTACTCACAGAAGTTAGAGGGTATGGGGTATATACTGGATTATAGAACAAGCCCCAAAATTAAGAGAAAATTAAGAAAAAAGCAAAAAAAAAAAAAAAAAAAACAAAAACCTGAAAATCTAGAAAAACTAGCCGTTAGAGGCCGTCGGTCGATTGATGAACAATATCAGTTAATTGATGAGCTGACCGTTACAGGCAGCTCACAACTCATCGGTCGACTGTCGACTGAAGATCTCATCAATCGACTGGTAAACTCATCGGTCGACTGATAGTTCAAAGTCGTAAAAACAGAAACTTTTGACAATTTCAGGCGTGTTCATCAGTTGACTGATCAACTCCATCAGTTGACTGATAACATGTTATCAGCCTGAAATGAATAGTAAAATTAAACTTTAAAACCTTTTTTAATAATAGCAAATAAATTCTAAAAAATATAGAAATTTGAGAAATGATTGTAAACATGATAATAAACATGTTACAAAAAGTATTTTTGGAATTGCACCTCCCAAATGAGAAATCTCTTCATTTTGCAAAAAAGTCCAAAACATGAAAACTAAACAACACATGTTTTAGATATTGACTTAAACAATATTTTAAAACCGCATAAAATGATTTTATAGACTTAATAAAAGATTTAAACTATTGTTGTTAAGTCTATAAACCAATTACTCAACATTTTCACAAATTCATATTTATATAAACATAAAAAACTAAAAACCAAAACTTGTATATATATATATATATGAAACCAATACTTGTATGTGTGTATGTGATTGAGCTTAAAGTATCTACACACAAGTATAAACCTAAACTAACTTAACCAAGCTTGAAGGTCTTCAATATAGCTTGACTTGCTTGCGGATGAAGCTTGATCTTGTATATGACTTGAATTGTATTGTTTCATACCGATAGTTTCTTCCATCCTCTAATGGATATGACCGTGAATGCTCGATTCCATCCAACCTTCGACTTGGATATTTGTGTAGATTACCTAACAATCAAATATAAACACTTGACAAACGTTGTTAGGAATTGTTTATAATCATCAAAACAAGATTAGAGAGTAGACTCATAAACATGAGACCTAACAAGACTAACACCACCACCATCTTGTATGATAAACATGTTACAAAAAGTATTTTTGGAATTGCACCTCCCAAATGAGAAATCTCTTCATTTTGCAAAAAAGTCCAAAACATGAAAACTAAACAACACATGTTTTAGATATTGACTTAAACAATATTTTAAAACCGCATAAAATGATTTTATAGACTTAATAAAAGATTTAAACTATTGTTGTTAAGTCTATAAACCAATTACTCAACATTTTCACAAATTCATATTTATATAAACATAAAAAACTAAAAACCAAAACTTGTATATATATATATATATGAAACCAATACTTGTATGTGTGTATGTGATTGAGCTTAAAGTATCTACACACAAGTATAAACCTAAACTAACTTAACCAAGCTTGAAGGTCTTCAATATAGCTTGACTTGCTTGCGGATGAAGCTTGATCTTGTATATGACTTGAATTGTATTGTTTCATACCGATAGTTTCTTCCATCCTCTAATGGATATGACCGTGAATGCTCGATTCCATCCAACCTTCGACTTGGATATTTGTGTAGATTACCTAACAATCAAATATAAACACTTGACAAACGTTGTTAGGAATTGTTTATAATCATCAAAACAAGATTAGAGAGTAGACTCATAAACATGAGACCTAACAAGACTAACACCACCACCATCTTGTATGACTGAGTCATGGTTCCTACTATATCCTATATTTATAGTAATTAATTGTTCTGTGCTTGATATCTATATTACCTATGATTTTGAGTCAAAAACTGTTGTATGAATAATATTTCATCATTTAGTTATCATAATTGTTCTTTTTTCCACCGTGATGGTAATTGCTGTTTTTGGCCACAACGTGAACAATATTGGATTGCCTTCTAGCATTCTGTTTCAAGATGAAAAGAATCTCCGTTTAGTACATGGCCGATGTAATATTTTTTAGGACAAATTTTCAATTTCGACCTATTTAGAAAATTTATTGCAAAAATCGACATGTTTTGAATTTAATTATCAAATTCGATCCAGTTTCAGCCACCTGGCTGAAACTGGGTCGAATTTGAAAAAAAAGCTTACGAAACTTCACGGGACTTCAACTCCTGTGAAGTTTAAGCGGGTTGTTACAGTTTCAGCCACCTGGCTGAAACTGGGTCGAATTTGAAAAAAAAAGCTTACGAAACTTCACGGGACTTCAAGTCCTGTGAAGTTTAAGCGGGTTGTTACCTGACTGAAATTGGGTCGAATTTGAAAAAAAAAACTTACGAAACTTCACGGGACTTCAAGTCCTGTGAAGTTTAAGCGGGTTGTTAAACATACAGGACTTGTAGTCCCGTGAAGTTTTGTTATGTACAAAACATCATGGGACTTCAAGTCCCGTGATGTTTCAGATGGAATTTCCAAAGAGCAACAAATTTCACGTGAAGCGGGTAAACAAATTTCACGTGAAGCGGGTAAACAAATTTTACAGGACCTCAAGTCTCGTGAAATTGTGAAAATGTTTAAACCAAGTTTAGCGGGGGCTTAAACTTTATTTCGTAAGTTTTTTTTTTCAAATTCAACCCAGTTTCAGCGAGGTGGCTGAAACTGGGTCGAATTTGATAATTAAGTTCAAAACAGGTTGATTTTTGCAATAAATTTTCTAAATAAGTCGAAATTGAAATTTTGTCCTATTTTTAGCTGTCAACAATGTATTGTTTCACAAATTTAGTTGTTTGAGGCCTTGAGTTTGTTTCAGCGTGCCAAAAATGTTGGACATGTAGTTCAAAGGTTCTCAATACATAGTTTGTGCTTTTACATTGCTCATTTCCATTTCTCTGCCATGACAACAAACATTAATCTGTGTTCTTAATTTAAAATTTCAAGATGTACGGAAACATTGTAATTTTCTTTGGTCTTTGACCCTTGAGTGTTGTGGACTATATGATTTTTATCTTTGCATATTTTTTTTCAACTTTTTTAAACTGACATTCCAGTCTTTGCCAATCAATTATATTCCCCTGCTTATTGAGATTACTGTCTTTTACAGGTGAAAAATCCACAGGCAGTTCTACCCCCTGCACTTGGAGCATCTATGTACGCTATTGCCTGCGTGCTTTCATATAATGGATTGTCCAGCGTATCATCCGGCGATGAATCTCTGGAACCCCAAGCAACAAAGCTGTACCCAGTTGACACAAACAAACCTTCTTCAGGAAGAAAAGGGTCTGCATATATCCCACCTAATGGTTTCTTAAGATCTTTGATGTCAGATAACAACCGGGCAACCACTTCCCATTCTCACATGGGCAGAGGGCCAATTCCTAATGGCCCGCAACCTAAGAGATTCCAGCAGCAAAACCCTAGGAATGAAAGTCCAAAAACCAAAGCAGCTGCTGCTTCGAGCGGCAATGGTGGTTTTGGCAATGGTGGTACTCCTAAGAACAATTCATCTAAAAGACGATGGCCTGGCAAGGGCTAGGATGATCATTGTATATTAAATATAATATGCAGCTCCAAGGCTTTATTTTTTGGTCCCTGCTGTGATTAAGATGTAGTATTTACGTAGGTCCTTTTGGTTTTATGAGGGGCAGTTGTATATGATGTCTGCTTCTGGTGAAGGCGCTGATAAATTGATCTATATCAGTCAATCATTTTGGCAGTATTACATTCAAACCCATGGGTGGTGGTGTTCATTGTATACTTCAAACAAAGCAGACCTTAATGAAAATTTACTTTTGGCTGTAGACATGTCGATCCAAAATTTCTGGTGGATTGCTTGTTCTTAGTTGACATGAAGTGTGTCTCAGAGAGAATATTCCCACCTTTTCTCTGACAGTGAGTGGTAAAAGGACTTCAAAATTCCCATGTTTTGTTCGGACAGGTTATAGCACTGGAGCAGTGGATTATGAAAACATTGTTCATGTTTGATGTGTGATGATGTAACTACCGTCTTAGTTAATTTTTTTTTCTCTTTGTATCTATCCACTTGATTTCAGGTTTTTTCGATGGAAGTGTTTGGTGTGCGCCAGTATGGGAATAATTCTTTTATTAAATCCAAGCTGTGATCATGTTTTTTCTCCCAACCAACCATTCCTCTTCCAGCCACAGCCTACTGTGTGAGAGAGACATGGAGTCATCTCTGATCATAGCAATGAAAGGCCATCCAGGCACGGGCAAATCCACCCTTGCCGGTGCAATCTCCATCTCGTTTCGAGTCCCTCTCCTTGACAAGGGTGATGTTTGAGACTGCAGTCTCTCCCTTCAGGCTCAACGCCACTTCCCCTCATCTTCACTGAAAGATCTCTCATACACAGACCTCTGGCAAATATCAATACACAGCTCCATCTTGGCCCTCTTGGTGATTGACCCCCCCCCGCCCCACCCCCCCCACCCCCCCACGAGAACACCTTGACAAGCTGTTGAGTTGGCTGGTGGCACGTGGTGCCCCGTGTTGTGGTTGTGGGAGTGCGGTGCGAAGGGCAACGGTGAGTGGTGACGGGGCCTCAAAAGACGAAGGCGAGATCGCGGGGGATGAGGGCATAAGCCCTGCACATCGGAAGAGCTGAAGAGGCTTGTGGATGGATATTATGGCCGCCTTGATTATGATGTGGGAGATGTGAAGAGGAATGTGGTGGATACCACTGCTGGAGATGATCAACAGAAGCTTTGTCACGCCCGGGTCCCCAAAAAGGCACATGAGGGCATGTGACTCGGCCGGCGATGCAACTACATGAAGTGAACCCTCTCTCATAGCTATATTCATGCCTCTAGATTAACAATAAGGGATGAGTAAACAATGCCAAGCAGGGAAGAAATGAACACTTGAATAAATAACGGCAAGAATAGAGAGATTTGAGGAGGTAGTGCAGATAGGGAGAGAAATAAGGAAGTTGGGATTTCTTAAGAATAGAGATATTTGGTTAGGAGGTTAAGGATTTAAAATGTACAGATCTTTATCTGAAATCAAACTCATGACATAATATGGAACTTTGGCGTTTGGGCCTTAATTAATTAACTTGACAAATATGTGACAGAAACATTTTATCCATAATAATATTTGTGGACCTTAAGGTAACATCATCTAAGAAAAGAATGAGAAAATTAAGATGTGGGTCCAAAGGAAATAAAACAATTTTTCGATAATAGGCCTAAAACCAACATTAGGAAGAAGGATGTTAAGAAATAAATAGAAGTTTATAGGGCAAGTTTTCAAAGCGACATAAAACATCTACGGACCAAAGACAGATTGGAAACATATGAGGTATATCCAGTGTCGCGCGCCTTTGCGGAAGCCTTGCACGAACTCACAACGAACCTGTGATCACGAGTAGAAGAAAGACAAAACTCTTGCACAAATCCAAGCAATAAAGCCAAATCACTCCAAACACAGAGATATACGTGGTTCGGCAATTTGCCGTACTCACGGGGGAGAGGATGGGAGGAGATTTCACTAAATCAAGGAGAGTACAAAGGGTTACAATCACACACATTCTTCTCAAACTAACCTCAACCAAAGACCTCACCTTTGCTCACAATATCTCCCTCTCACAATGCCTCAAAGATTCCTCAATATTCTGATCAAAAAAACCCTCACAAATCGCTTTCCTATTTATATCAAAACAAAACCCCAATCAGACTGCAAATAGGAAACCTGCGTATGCAAAAAAACCCGTCGTAAGCTCAGACTTAACAGAGACTCACAAGTCGACTTGACAGAGAGAAAATCAACAACTGGAGAACACTTCATAAGTCGACTCTAACAGACTGTTAAGTCGATGCTTGCCATAAGTCGACTTAACAGTCATGCTAAGTCGACTTGACAGAGGCCTAAAATCACAATTCGGCTGCAGATCGTAGTCGAGTCGTGCACAGTGCATGAGTCGACTTATGCCAGTTTTTCTGCGTTTTTCTGATTTTTTTCCTGATTTCTCCACAATTCTCACTCTCGGCGAATTTTTGCCAAAAATTGAGCCGACACCAACACCAAGAGCATCAATGTGTCGTCTCTCCAAATACGGCTGCACCACCATGGTTGCCTACGTACCCTCTCCAAGGGATCAAGCCGGCCGTAGTTCATCACAATGGCCGGTCAACAGGCCTCAACAATCACAAATATTCAACAAGTTTCTGCAATGATCAAACTTGTTGCTTGGAACCACCTTCGTGAGCATATCCGCCGGATTATCCTTGTATGAGACCTTCACAATCTCCACATCGCCATCTTCAAGAACATCTCAAACGAAGTTGATAACGAACTGTCAATGTGCTTCGTCCTCGCATTGAAAAACCTGATTCTTCGCAATATATAGGCACTCATGCTATCACAATGAATAGTGACGGATCGCTGCGATATCCAAGTTCTTCCAGAAGTCCTCGAAGCCAAATAGCCTCCTTCACGCCTCCGTAACTGCCATATACTCTGCCTCCGTCGTAGACAAAGCCCCGTCGACTGTAAGGTGCATCTCAACACACCGGCGCAGCGTCAGGTGAACACATACATCCCGTTGTAGATCGGCGCTTATCCAAATCCCCGGCTAATCCGATCAACATAGCCAATGCATAACTGGCCCACCTGTAGTGCTGCGCTCTAAACCAAAACCAACATGTGAGCGTACCTAGATGTTACCTCAAATCCATCTACGGCATCCCAATGACCCACTCCTGGATCGTGCATGATATCTCGACACCATGTCACTGCCATGTGACAAATCGGCCATCGCTACATACCATTTCGCGTACATTTCAAGCTCCCTAACTGCGTGATATGGAGTCTTCGACATCAACTCACGGTCTCAACTGACTTCGGTGAAGTGTCGCTGAACAGCTTCAAATTGCGGCTCCCAACACTCTCTCTCCT